CATACTGTCAGCGCTAAACAGGGGCGTCCCGAGGCTGGGTGACACCCGGAGAGGTAACCCAGTGTCACCGCGCCGAGACGTCACTGCGCATGCGCGGCAGTATTCTGATACCTGCCGGCGGCCATCTTGGTGATGGACGCCGGCAGAGAGAGGAGGGGACAGTCACCCGGCGGAATAAGGTATGCCGCCGGGTCCCCTCCTCTCTCCTGATACTGTCGGGCGTTCGGTCCATGACCGAGCGCCCGACTTTTCAGAGGGGGGTGACACCAAAATGACTGTGAGTCATTTTGGTGTCACCCCTCCAATGGTGTCGCCCGGGTGCGAGCCACACCCCCCGCACCCACCTTGTGACGCCACTGGCGCTAAATGAATCCTATATAATAACAATAGTATATAAAGGTATTGGAAGACTTTTTCTGATAAATACCAAACATTCTAGTTCCTAAGTGTAGAGAATTTAAAATGTTTCCTCAGTTATTGTTGATGTATTTTCCTGGCTTAGACCCGGATGTGTCAATAATGGACTATTACCAATGTTTACAGAGTGACCAGTAAAGGGGGTCATAGGGATGTAAGAGAAGGTAACAAGCTGAGACCTGGAAGTGGCCACTACCTGTTACCTGTGTGCACCTCCAAGCAACACGCATACTGCTCGATAACAGCGTGAAACAGGAAATCTGTTATTTTCAGATAGAGTTTTCTGTATCACAGGGGGATAGGGGGTTCAAACAACCCCCTCAGAGTGTCCTGGCAGTGGCGTAGCGAGGGGGGCAGAAGGGGGCACGTGCTCCCGGGCAATGGTGTTTATCACCGTTCTGAAGAACATCCAGGGACGGGCAATCAGGTAGCAGGGGCTGGGGGGCTTGTATTATCTGTGCATATACTTCTGTTTTTAGTCCTAAGTCCACTGTGTTGCAAAGTCCAGAGTCCAGTGCTTTCCTATGTCCCGAGTCCAGTGTGTTCCTAAGTCCCGAGTCCAGTGCGTTCCTAAGTCCCGAGTCCATTGCGTTCCTAAGTCCCGAGTCAATTGCGTTCTAAGTCCAGAGTCTAGTGCGTTCTTAAGTCCTGAGTCCAGTGCGTTCCTATGTCCAGAGTCTAGTGCATTCCTAAGTCCCGAGTCCAGCGCGTTCCTATGTCCTGAGTCCAGTGCATTCCTAACAATAGAAAAATGTCACCAGCACACTATAAGTTGAAAAAGCGAAATATTTTATTGCCAATAGCTGTATCTCATTGGCAAGAGCTTTTGGGGCCTCGCAGGGTCCCCTTCATCAAGCTTAGAGATGAAGGGGACCCTAAGCCTGATGAAGGGGACCCTGCGAGGCCCCAAAAGCGCTTGCCAATGAGATACAGCTATTGGCAATAAAATATTTTGCTTTTTCAACTTATGGTGTGCTGGTGAAATGTTTCTATTGTTCATGTGTGGCAGTGCCATATGCAGTCATTTTGAGCACCCATCCTCATCAAGTGGGAATCCCGGTAAGGAGTGCGGTATGGTTCCTGTTTCTGTCAGTGCATTCCTATGTCCCGAGTCCAGTGCATTCCTACATCCAGAGTCAATTGCGTTCCTAAGTCCAGAGTCCAGTGCCTTCATAAGTCCAAAGTCCAGAGTATGTACTGGAGGCAGGCTCATAAAGAGAACCTGCCTCCCTCGAATGCTATCACACAGGTGCTTGTTAGCTTCTGTGTGATAGCAATAAAGTTAAGTTAAAAAAAGTAAAAAATAAAAGAAATTAAAATAAAAAAACTGATAAAAAGTAAAAATAAATAAAATGAAAACATTATAAATAATAATAATCAGCGGAGCCCAACTTGAGACCCCACCAGGCCACCTGAGACCCCCACAGCCCACCTGAGACTCTGCACAGCACACTTGAGACACCCCACAGACCACCTGAGACCCCCAGCCCACTTGAGACCCCGCACAGTCCACCTCAGACCCTGCACAGCCCACCTGATACCTCCACAGCCCACCTGAGATGCCCACAACCCACCCGAGACCCCCCACATCCCACCTGAGACACCCCACAGCCATCCTGAGACTCCAGACAGCCATCCGGAGACTGCACAGCCCACCTGAGACTATGCACAGCCCACCTGAGACTATGCACAGCCCACCTGAGACTCTGCACAGCCCTCCTGAGACTCTGTAAAGCCTTCCTGAGACTCCGCACAGCCCACCTAAGACCCAATACAGCACTCCTGAGACTCCGCACAGTCATCCTGAGACTCCACACAGCCATCCTGAGTCCCTGCACAACCCTCCTGAGACCCTGGAGACATCAGGCCACCACCCTGGAGCAACACAGAGTATGTAGCTTCATATTATTCTGCATTGCTATATAATGTATTGCTGGGATTTGTGGTCATCTATAGCTGGTGGTATTCTGCATTGCTATATAATGTATTTGTGCCGCCCCAACGGGGCATAGAATATGAGATGCATAGCCTCAGTTAATATTAGCATTGTTTTAGATAGAGTTATTATAGTGTGTTTTTGCCTAACTATTTTCCCCATAGCAAATCCATGTCTTATCCTATGCTGCCATCTAGTGGCCTTTGTGATATCACACATGTCTTTTCTGTATTTCTGTTCCCCATGTGACGACATATTTCCAGTCTATGTATGCCCCTCCCTTCTTCCTGTGTGCAGTACTTCCTGTGTCATGGCCACAGTTAAGAGCCACATGTAACAAGGACACACGTGTGATCTGCACAGTACGTAGGAAAGGCATCATTTTCTGACCGCACAATACTATAACCGTTCAACTGCTGTTCCTATCATCTGCTGTAACCTGATGTTAAAGAATAAACACCTCTTTTGAATGAATCGGTATTGACGAGTTCAGCTATCTGACGAGGATTGTCCGCAGTGAGTATATCTGCTTATACAGGCCAGGCATAGAGGTCTCAGCAAGGGATATATTTCGCTATCACAACGATCGGAGTCAGAATAGTATTGCTATGTGGTGGGTCTCCATGGTGGATCAGTGGCTTTAGACCCGCTTCTGTGCTTCCTTCTTTTGGTGCGGCAGCACCCCTCCCGAACCACCACGGAGTGTAGGCTTGAAATCACTCAAGTCTCTCCTCCATGACAGATTAGAAGAAGCACCGTCGGGAAGATTGAAGCAGGCCCAGAAGTGGCTCCTAAATTAACAAAGCAGCACTGGAGAATGAGGTGATTTGAAGTTGGATCATGAGGGGAAAACACAGGCAAGGGAACAATTGGTCTAGACTCTAGAGCAGGGGTGGCAAACTCAAATTCATCGGGGGCCGCATCAGCAGTATGGTTACCCTCAAAGGGCCGGTTGTATAGGACTATGCATCTACTCTTTATTATCATAAATAGTTGCCTCTGCATTCAGTTGCTACTGGTTTTAATAATAATTTAAGTAATAACTAGCCTTGAAAACAGAAGCCTAGGAAGAATAACAGCAAGCAGATATTCAAATGCACAATTATTGTACAATTTATTAAAACATTTATTTATGAACAGTAATTTTTTTTTTTTTTTAAACATACAAATATTGCCAGGCACTGTTTATTACACATATGGCAAACACAAGGCATTAACTTTCTTTAACTTTTCTGACTGGATGTCTGACACTTTGCTTTTTTTTTT